GTTTGATACCACATGATTTCATAAAAACACAGCAATCTAATATTTTGAAAACTACACGAAATAATTAGCCAGAAGGTGAATTTTTAGTTACTTGCGATTTTTCCGAAAACTACAGCTTTGTGTTACAGGATGAAGTTCAGTCTCATCACTGGAATGTCCAACAAGCTACCATTCATCCATTTGTTATATATTTTAGAGAAAATATGCAAGTTAAACATTTAAGTTTTATTATAATTTCTGAAGAGTTAAGGCATGACTCAGTGGCTGTTAACTTATTTATTTCTAAAATGATAAGTTTTTTACGCATTAACCAAAGTAAAAATATCAACAAGATTTATTTTATGTCCGATGGAGCCGCGTCACAGTACAAGAACCGGAAAAATTTTGCTAGCCTTTGTAAATTTAAATCAAAGTATGGAATTTAAGCCGAATGGCATTTCTTTGCAACATCACATGGGAAAGTCCTTGTGACGCTATTGGAGGTACAATAAAACGTATGGCTACTAGAGCAAGTTTGGCCAAAGAACGTGAACATCCAATAAAAAATGCAAGAGAGCTTTATAATTGGGCAAATAATCGAAAAGAAGAAGAATTAACAAAATTATCATTTAGTTTTGCCACAACAGAGGAATACGAATGTATGGCTTCACACCTCAACGAGCAATATAATAATGCAAAAATAATTCAAGGAACTCAAAAGTTTCATTCTTTCATTCCTGTATCAGAAAATAAAATTAAAGCCAAACGATACTCAAACTGTAATGATAATGATGCCAAAATATTCGATGTATTTAAGTCGTGATGTAAATAAAAATAGAAAGTAAGTGTATTACAATGAAAATAAATTATGTATCATTTGTCCATAAGGTTTTCGAATAAAAGAAAAGTAAAAAGAGCAGATAAATGTATTTTGTGGATTTAAGTTGAGATTTTAAAATAAAAAAGTAGCCGGGATTCGCTATTACAAATTGTAATAGCGAACCCCGACTACTTTTCCGATAGGGCCTGTGTAGAAAAGCGCTTATAAAATAAACATTTTAATACATTGCAAAAACGGCTTGCTTGATTGCTATGGTGTCTTGGGAAAAGTTGTGCAAAATTAAAATGCAATTCTTGAAAAAATATACACGGTTAAAAAAAATGTGTTTTTAATGAAAATGTAAAAATCGTAAAATTTTCAAAAATTTATAACTTTTTTGTTTTTGAGTTTACCATCACTAAACTTTGCCAGTTAGTAGCAAACATTGTGAGCTTCAATGAGGCTTAAAACGAAAATTATCAAAAATGTGCTTTTTGAGAAATTAACTTTTTTAATAATAAATATATTTTTTTTCATTGATACAAACGAAATTTTTTACAGTGTATATTTTTTACACAATTGCCAAAATAATATCTACAACTTTGCTCTAGATCCCAAATCAATCGAACAAAGCGTTTCGGCAATATATATTTTTAAACTCATTAGTACTATTTTTACACAGGCCCTTTTCAAAAAGTAGTCGTAATTCAATATGAAAAACTGAGAGCACAAAATGGCGCCTTTACTAAAAAGGAACAACTGTGCAAAGTTTCAGCGTAATTGGAAATGATCGGTCAGGATCGATTTGCTAACCTTCGTGGAATGCCTCAGTTGTAAAAACACAGTTCGAAAAAGTAGTGTAAATTTCTGTCACTATGATGCACATAAATGGAGCGTCACATATCATACAAATTCACATTACAGATCGTGTAAATTTATGAGTCATTTAATGAAATATTCGAAATATTGTATGTAACCATCCATATTTGTAAGCAATATTTTTTGCAAGTTGGTAGTTTACGTGAAAAGGAAGTTTACATGCTTCAATTTTAGCATGCATGGATATTTACATCACCATTAAAATTCATTATTTTATTGGTGTGAAGGCTCTACAGATAAGAGAAAAAATTTAAGATTCAGGTTTGACAGTTTCGAAATGTAAGTAACATTATAGAGAATTTATCTTTCTTTTAACATGAGCAGTTATATCGAGTCTTACTGTTTTCGTGATTGTTGGCATCGTGAACAAATAATTACTAATCAACATTTTGAAAATCTTAAAAATGTCCTTATTTTGTTATTGAAGTTTTTAACAGTTATTTTTTTGACGAAAATTTGCAATATATTTTTCAGACCGTATTTTTTAAGAAAAGGCAATCCTATTTCCTACAACTTTGTATCAGAGGTCATTTCGATCAGATAAGCCGTTTTTGTGCTATGATATTTTTTTTTAAATGTCGGATTCGCCATTTTTAAATTTTAGGTGAGAGTCAAAATGTTCGTGTACCAGTACAAACTTGGTTCATTGCCGCTAGAAAACAATTGTGCAAACCTTCATGAGAGGTTAAATCTGAAATTCGTTTATTTTTGCTCTAATTTCAAATCACAAACGAATTCACATTAGCCACAGAATTTCCCGTCAGTCAAAAGACATCTTGTGAAACATCAGATGGCAAGAGCATTCAATTACCTTCGAGGAAGAGGCCAGAATCAAGATGCAAAAGCCACATCAAATCACATAAGGATTCAATTATAAGATCATTGGTGGTTCAGTTGAGTACCCAGGATCACATTGGTCTCTTCACATACAATTTACAGACGTACTAGATCGTAGTGCTGGGACTAGGATAATCCGGATATTTTGATTTAACAATTATATTAAATTTAGACATTTAACATATCACTTCATATGGAAACCTAACAACTAACTATTTTACAAATATTTGCAACAATAGAAATGATGAAAACGATTAGAGGTAAAAGAATTTAAAATTTACACTATCCGGATATCCGGATAGTCACTATCCGCCTGATAACCAGCTCAACGTTTTCTCAATTTATATTATTTCAATATTGGGCACTGAAAACCATGATAATGAACTCAACTATCCGGATAGTTAATGTTAATTGGCACATCTGTAATAGAATCTTACATTTCCCGTTTGGGCTTAGATTATAAAGAAATCTCATTAGACACTTTTTTAACCAATATTTTTAAAACGATTCTATTATCAACTGATTCCAAATATTCACACAAACAGGGATGTAGGGTTACGGTATGTAATGTGGGTCTAGTCCTTTCATTCGGCCTATCACGCAAATAAATAATTAATTAAGGAATATTACACAAAAAATAAGGAAAATATTGATCACTGATGGTTGATAAATGTGTACCACACACAAATCAATTTATATCACAACATTTCAATACATTTTCAGCTCTCGTAAGTAATAAAACTGGTTGAGAATATCACAATGTTCGGAGTTTTTAGCCGCCATGACTTATAAGGTTAAGATGGGAAGGTTGACTGACGATCATCAAATGGCCTGATTATGGCATTTATTGATTGGAATTACCTGATAATACACACTAGACGTAAAACTTACAGTTGCTGTTTGAATATTTTATGTTTATTTTAATTGTTTAACAACGTTTTCACAAGTAAAACATGGACCCAACTTTAGGGACACATTTCTTTTCTATGTTCCTAACTATGGCCCATGAAATTCATTTGACAGCATATAGCAATAAGAGTAACGTCAACAATGTTGTTTTGCATTTGGATGATAAGGAACGAACAGGAAGGGAGATTTTTTCTGCCAAACCTGTATAATGAACATCACAATGTTCTGATTTAGATATTCTGCGGTCAAAAGACGATAAGCGAAATTTTTAATTTTTAATTTTTAAATTGAGTGATTTAATGTAGTTTTCGTAAAATTTTCTCTAAGAAATGTTTTGAGGAATGAAGAGCATTAAGTTAACAGTGATAGTGATAAAAAAAAATACATCAGAAAACGTTACCAAGAGCGTTTTTTTGAGGATCAAACAAGATAGGACGAAGTTGCATCCATAAATAGACCCAATTTGGGGACAATAGACCCATATTACATACATTTCCCTCGTGAGTTATTGTCTTAAAAAAAGTAAGTTTTTCAACTTTTCGTGGTTTCTGATAGCAAACGACATGATAAGCATATCTAAGCATACCATTTAGCAGTAGAATATCGTTTGCAGGTAAATTCATTGATGAGTTATGATTAAAAACGTAATCGATGGCTGCATATTAGACCGAGGTTAGGGACGTATACCCTATATTGAAATTATCGAAAAAATAAACCAAAGTTCATTTTGAAAAATTTTCAAAACGTATATTGAATAAAAACCAACATACGTTTCAAATAAGAGCCTGGCTCACTAAGAAGACGAGCACACAAAAATTCCCAGAAAAAAAAATCAGGTTAATGAATAATCAAGACTGCTAAAATTTCCTGGGGCCATTATTGAGGAAAATAATTAATTCGTAATTTGGATGGAACACATCTTATATGCCCAATTTCAATAGTATGTGCTTCTAATCACTTAACTCGATTTTCGATCCGCAATCTCTCGTTAAGAAACCACACCACCCTATCTCACAAGCATCATTATCAGCATCGAAGCGATCGAAGCGTCTATGAATTTGCTCACTTTTAACAATATAAACAAAAAAAAAACCGCTACATGATCACTAGCAAAAAAAAAAGCCACACAGGTTTCATAATACCTAATAATCCACCTCGGTCTCCGCGGCGTCTCTCGCATGCGCTTGAATGCGCGGTGTCCTACTGCAACACACTACTCAACTACTCGTCAGAGCACCCCGGTAACCGACAACAGATCTTCACGCTGCTTGTTCTCCTCTCCGTTTCAGTTTTCACTTTTCTTTGGGTCATATTGCATTCACTCCGAGCGCGTGCTTGTGCTAGGCATAACCGATCAACTTTTCATTTTGGCCTCAATAACGTAACAGCGCAACGGAGCGAAATCGAAAGTGCCCCTGGATCTGGACTTTCCCGTTTCGATTCGCAGTCGAGGGTCAACTCTCTTATCACTTGTCGGCGTCATCTGGTTCCTTCACGACATTTGCCACAATCACAAAACAAACAATCAAAAAAAGCATCCCCCCGATCCAGTGTAGTATCCATTGGAAAAACTTACCTTTCAATTTGATGTAGTGGGAGGCGGATGCTCTGCTTGGGATGTGATCCGAAGCCGTCGAACGGAGTGGATGTTGCTGGTGGTAAAAGTAGTGAACGATAAAACGTCGGCGCCTCTCCGAGTGGTGCTTTTATAGGACAGATTCCCCCACCGCACGCGGCGGCCGCGGCGGTGGCACGATGGTCATCCAGTTGGGGGAAAGACCGACGCCTGGTCAGGTCGCTCTGTATATGTTTGGGGCTCGGTTGCTAGGAGAAATACGAGATTTTGTGCTTTTCTCGGCGGCGCGGCGTCTTGTCGCGAGAGTACGTGGAGAGATTTCAATGCACGAGCAAGAGAGGAAACCGGCGCGTCTGAGGCATCTTCGTCGTCGTCATCGTCGTTTTCATAAGTCGAAAGGTTTCAGGCGCGACGGGGAAGCAGGTTTTGCGGTTCTTAAGAGATTTTGTGACAGTATTGGATTGTTTTATTTTCTTTTGTGCATGTTGGTTTTCTGCTTGGCAGATGAGATTTTTATGGATGTTTTTAACGAGCTGTTCGCAGTGGTTTTACTGTCGCGGGATAAATGTTGGTTAAGATGTATTTCTGTTTAATACGAAACGATGCTAGGGAAGCTGTCATCATGTGGCATGAAATATCAAGGGTTTCTTTTGGTTCTTTAGTTCTTTTAGTTGAGTGTCAATATCGAATCGTTTTAATACGAGAATCGAAATTCATATAGATTTATTGACTTTTATAACGATGATTTAAGCAACAACATAATTTGATGAATATGGTTTTTCACCCGAAGGAACTGAATAACAATGAACCCAGAGTTTCGAATCGTTAGCCCGTTTTCGTTGTCTGGATACGGTGGTGCAAAACGCACCGTTTAAGTAAAATCGTGAATTGGTACACGCAAACCAAAACTTTATTACAATGAATGTTCCTATAATCTTCTGTTCATGAACATCGCAGCGAATGTTCACCTTGCAGACGATGCTATGATTTTTATTTTTTTTTGACGTAGGACTACGTTTGTGATTTCTATATGGGGGTACACTTTGTGAAAAGCAAAAATGGAACATGTAACAAAATTATGAAAGATTTTGAACATTAATAACTCAGGTGCCCTTGGACCAATTTCAATAATTTTATCACCAATCGATCATAAATATTTCTACGCACCTGCTAAATTTAAGACTTCATCATTTTTCAAAATTGCACTATCGAAAATTGCATGAATTTGCAACTGTTGCTAGGATAATTAAAATTATCACCGATTGCCTGCGGAAAGCGATTTCCCTAACACAGATTTCAAAGTTGAATTCCATCCCGTCTCACCAAACGATGTTTATTCAATCACCGCGTGGTGAGTGGTGGTGTTCTCCAGTACACAACGAAAGGCTCCCTGCAAGCAGCTAGCTTTCAAGACTGGCCTCAACCGCTGATGGATTCAGTTCCAATCACCGATTGTGGTGGTGTCCGGTCATCGGCATCAGCAGCAGCAGTGCTTTTGGCGCGTGGCGTTGAACATTGTTCTCCAGTACACAACGAAAGACTGCCTGCAAACAGCGAGCTGCAGCCCACTTGAGCATTCATAGAAGCCGCACCACTATTGATCGGAATCAGTAGCTCTTCGTGAGACGCTGTGGGCCATCTATGCCAAACGCGTCACCCTCATTCCAAACACCATACAGCTCACAAGCCTCATCTGTGTTTAACAATTAATCAACCATCACGACAAAACGGTCCACCATAAATTTGTAAAAGAGTATTTTTTGGACATTTGTCAAGGTCATCAATCGGATGTCAGTTCTCATATCAAGATAGAGCAGGAATTAGGGCGTAACAGCTTTTGTAAACAATAACTTCTTTAGAGCGACTTGTGGAATCGCGTCAACGCTCTGAGTGGCAAGCGGCAGTGTACTCCACTTACTATCCAAGCTCATGGCACCACGATCTCAGAACCGAAGGACATCGCTGACAATTTAGGGAACTATTTTGCTGGCCTGTCCGCTGTCAGTGGCTACGACAGCGATTTCGTACAGCGCGTCAAACCTTCCACAAGCAGCATTCGTGACCTGCGAATTCCACCCGATGTCCCTTCCCTCCAGATCAATGATGCTCTTACCTTCCGGGAGCTTCAGTTTGCCCTCGGCAGCAGTACAGGTAAATCTGCCGGGCCGGACGAGATTGGATACCCGGTGTTAAAAAACCTCTCCCTCGACGGAAAAACGAGGCTACTCGCCCTCTTCAACGACCTATGGCTCACTGACTCGTATCCGGACCTCTGGAAACGAAGCCTGGTAGTGCCCATTCCGAAGAACAACGCGACGAGTGGAGAAGCCTCCTCCTTTAGGCCGATTGCGCTCACTTGCTGCGCGGCAAAAGTGATGGAGAGAATGGTAAATCGTCGACTTAGGCAGTTCCTGGAGTCTAACAGTCTCCTTGATGAACGGCAGCACGCATTCCGGCAAGGACATGGCTCCTCCACTTACTTTGCAGCCCTCGGGAATGTACTCAAGGAAGCCCAGGACAACGGTCACCATGCGGAGTTAGTATCCCTTGATATTTCTAAGGCGTTCAACAGGACGTGGACGCCTGGCGTCATCAGGCAGCTCATCGGCTGGGGCCTGAAAGGCCACATCACGCAAGTTGTACGGAATTTCCTCCTTGATCGTACCTTCCAGGTGACGGGAACACTCGATCGGATCCGTTCCCCGAGGAAACTGGAGTGCCCCAGGGATCCGTCATAGCGGTTACGCTATTCCTGGTGGCAATGATTGTAATCAGCCGACTGCCCAAGAACGTGCACGTAATCGTCTATGCCGATGACCTACTCATCTTCGTAACGGGACGAACGACCAAACGGACCAGGAATATTGCCCAAGCAGCTGTCTCCGCCGTTTGCAGGTGGGCGCTTTCTGTTGGTTTCCAGCTCTCCGGTCCAAAGAGTGTACGGTGCCATATCTGCCACTCGGGCCATCTGATTCGGGGACCAACGATCACCATCCAGGACCATCCAATTCCGCTTAAGAAAACAGTACGTGTTCTGGGGTAGTTCTGGATCGGACTCTAAGTTTCGACCAGCACTTCAGATCGGTGAAAGAAAACTGTCGTAGCCGCATCAACATCGTCAGGACAATCTCCCGCCCGCACCGCTCCAGTAACCGCGAGATCCGCCTTCGTGTTGCCCGGGCTGTTATCGACAGTCGACTTTTCTACGGCATTGAAATTACTTGTATACCGGACGAAGATGCGGTTCAGCTTCTCGGTGGCTAAGAGAAGCTGAACCGCATCTTCGTCCGGTATACAATACCTACGTACGCATCGTATCCGGCCTTCTACCTTCCACGCCTGCAGACGCTGCTTGTGCGGAAATCGGAGTCCTCCCTTTCCGCTATCGATCTGCTGCAGCTACTGCTACGAAAGCCGCTGCCCTCGTTGCTAAGACATCCGGGAATGATAGGGTCTTTCTCCTCAACGAGGGGAACAGAGCCCTCCGCACTGCAGCCAACCTTGACCTCCCCCCGGTGGCCAGGGTCCACTGGCATGGAGAGAAAAGTTGGTGATCTAACGTTATCAAAATAGATAAGCGGATTAAGAGAGGATTCCAAGCCGGAGATAACTCTGTAGCGTTGAGGCGTTCAGTTGCAGAACTTCTTGGGTCGGTCTATCCGGGGCACGTTCATTGCTTTACAGACGGAACGCGATCACGGGCTGGAGTGGGACTCGGAGTGGCAGTACAAAACTCCGCAACAAGTCAAAGTCTACCGGAGGAGTGTTCCGTTTTTTCCGCAGAAGCCGCTGCTATTCTTGATGCAGCCATCACTCCTGCAGATCAACCGATCCTTGTGCTAACGGACTCACACAGCGTCATCCAGGCGCTGGAAGCCGAAGCCCCAAGCCACCCCTGGATACAAGCCATTACAAGATATGCCCCGCCCTCAACCGTTTTTACGTGGATTCCCGGGCACTGCGGCGTTCTTGGAAATGAGGCTGCGGCCAGGCTGGCGGGATCCGGTCCATCTGGTCCCCGCTTCACCTGGAACGTACCACTCCTAGACGTCAAGCGTTGGATCGCGAATATTATCATGGAAGCCTGGCAGGAGGAATGGTTTCAGTCGCGGACCACTTTCCTGAGAAAGATCAAAGAAACCGTACGACCCTGGCTAGACAGCCACAAGTACAAGGACCAACGGATCATTTCAAGACTCCGGACCGGCCATGCGAGGATTTCCCACAATTTTGGTGGGACACCCTTCCACAAGGTTTGTCCAATCTGCAGCATCCCTGCCTCGGTGGAACACGTGCTGTGTGTCTGCCCAGAGTTTCAGAGGCTACGCGAACAACACCGACTCCCAGAGAACATCAGGGAGCTACTTGGCAACGACCCCTCGACGCTGGCTGCGCTTATTGCTTTCTTGAAGGACGCCCACCTGTACAACCAAATCTAGCACTCTCGTCGTTGGCTGCGCTGTCCGTGTTCTTGCACCTTCCTATTTTCCTGCCGTCGGGGTATCTCTGCTGGACTGGGGCACTGTCTCTTACGGTGGAGCTCTACCTTGTTTTGCGCATCAATTCCTCACCACAGTCGCGATGTAACTCCCATTTTACATTAAGTTTTTTTTAAATGTTGTCTCAGAGCCAGCTTTACGTTACGTTAATGTTAGACTGAAACGTTTCCTTAGAGGCAGGCCCTAAGCCTGACCTACTATCAAATGTGATGAACTAGCCTACGGCTAAAAATCACAAAAATAAAGAAAAAAAAATTCTTTCGATGATGTCTTGAAAGGCAAGGCTCGCCCACACAAATCAACATCACCATCAGGTAGGGTAAGACTTCCCCTATCCGACGGTAATGTTGGTTTGCGTGGGCGTGCCTTGAATTCCTAAAAATCATCGAGAAAAGTCTTTGTTTACAAAAGCTGTTACGCCCTAATTCCAGCTCTATCTAGATATGTTTAAATCTAACATACCATGTACTTTAAAGCAACATTGGGGGGGCAATTTCAATTTCTCTCACTAATACACTCTACATTTTTTATTTTTCTCCATTTTCTTGCAATGGACCGCAGTTCGGTAAATTGCATCCTCGGTTCATGCGGTCTCCACTAACATCCTCTGATG